CTGATAAAACCTGCACCAACACTGCCGTGACCTTGAATCTCTGCAACATCCTCTTCTGCAAATGCAGTTTCTCCCAGTTTGCGCTCAACTAAAACACAGTTGCAAAGATCACTCTCCAGCTTGTCACTTAGTCCAGATCATTCCTGCCTCCTAATCCCTCTTCTGGTTTCCCTTATGCATCATATCAAACAGAAGCTTCCTGTCTTTACTTGCATGGCCTTTAGCGACCCATTCCCACTTTTTTTTTTTTTTTTTTTTTTTTCTGAGACCACAGCTTTCCTTGCTGMCCAGTTTTATCTGATTGCATCTCTGCATTTCCAGCTGTACCCGGTTGCTACCGCTTGTATTGGACTGTAAACTCCTACAGGACCCTTCTCTGTATTCTGTGCTTCTCTGATATGTAGCTCAGTGGGGCTGTTTCACCATTCGAGCATCCAGGATTAGAGGTAATTTAAGCAAAAAAAATCCACATAATACTACTAATAATAACAAGAACAACAACATAACAAGCAATTAGGACATGGCATCACATGCAATTCGAGATTCTCTCATCCTTTCTTCCTCTTAGCTCAGGTTCTAAACTGTGGTATTTCAAACCTTTCATTCTACAGAGCCCAGTAAATGAGATTTTAGAATAAAATACAGGAGCTGGTGTTCCCTTCCTGCTGCTCAAGTGTTTCCCTGTGGCCCACACAGTAACGCTGGTGATGTTTTCCAGAGGTTTTCCCCCAGGAAGCCTCAGTGAGCACCTCTGTCTGTCCCCTCAACGCAAGGCCAACACGTGGCAGCTGTGCGGGGATGGAGGAAGGTCACAGCCAAGGTTATGAACCCTTTCCATGCAAAAACTGAGGACTCCGGTCTCCCAGGGGTGCTGCCACAATTTGAGTTTTGCTAAAACGGTCTCGAATGAGGACCTAGAAAAGGCTGGAGGGGCAAAAGAAGAATGTTGAAATTACATAGTTTCATCTTTGTGCAGTTTAGTATTAATTTCGTTCTTTGTCTTTAAGCTGCCTTTTAAGTGCTGTTTGTCTCTGTGGGAAGCAAATGGGTCACGTTGTTCTATGTTTCTACTGTAATACGCTGCCTGCTATTTTTCTCTTAGATTATTTGTGTAATCTTTTTTGTGCAATCTGTTTGTTCTTTGAGTCTTGCAGGCTTTGCCTTTGCTACTTCTTTCTCAATAAGCGGTGCAACTTGTTCTGCATTCACTCATGGGTATTCCACACACAACGGACTAGGTTATTTCAACCAATGTGAAAATATTAAAATAGGGAACATGTGTGGGCATTTAATTGTGGCAAATCCAACCACAAATACCTTCGCCGTTGGTAATTGGCACACAGGGAAAGCAGACCTTTGTTTTGTTTTTATCAGACATAATGATGGATAGATTGTTTTTAGTGGGGTTTTTCTGGTTTTCTAAGGAAATGAGGCTTGTGCAATCACACCGCCTGGGTGCGTGTGCCTGTCTGTTTGTCAGTTCCTCCCTCCTCAACAACTCTGGAAATTAATAACCATTTTCCAGTAAATTTGAGGGAGAYGCAGGAGTCGGGAGAAGTGACCTGGCTTTTTGCAGGAGCGTCGTCAGCTCAAGGATTCCTCCAAAGCAGAAGGTGCCATCCTTGAGAGCTGCCCCGGTGCGAAGCGGAGCGGGTGTTTGCTCATGTGAAGCAGACCAGACACCTCACTTGAAGCTCCCAAATTTGAAGGTTTTGGCTCTCTGACTTTTCCCCTTCAGGCTAGTGAGTCACTTGGTGGTGTTGCTAGGCACAGAGCGCGTGTTTTGATTCTTGCTGCAGTGGCCTTGTCTCCCGAAAAACATGGTTTGCTCCAGGCCACAGTGTTACAATTTGCATATAAACTCATGAAAAAGGAAGCTTTCTTTAAGCTTTCCTGCGTGAGAGTTTACAGTAGCATTTCTCTGTGTGTACACAGCAGAAGGAGGAGGACTTCTCATAAATTTAGGTGGGTTAAGTTTGTTGCTGCCTGAGTGGGAATCTTCTGTGGAAAAACCCAGAAAGAGGAAGGAAAGCCTAAGGAAATACCAAGTTCAAGGGGAAAAGCTGGCAGCGGGGTTTGTTGTGCTGCGCTTTGGTTTGTACCTGGCCTGGAGCGGCGCAGCTGGGAATGCCCGACAGCYGCACGCGGGAATGCAGCCCCAGAGCACCCTCCGTGACAGAGAGGTGTCTTTGTGCCCTCACTGCCGAGAGGGGATGGACGTACAAAGGCACCAAGGGATTCGCTGGAGATCACAAGAGCTTCTGGCCAAGTCAGAAAACCAGCTCCGATTTCCTGGCGTAAGAAGCACGGCCAGAGGAGAAGCCGACGTATAGATAACTCCTGCAGCAAATGGAGACGTGCCTTGGTCGGAGAGGAAGATAAACATTGATGTATAGATACAAGGGCCAGCTAAGTCATGGATGTGAGAAGGGGAGGAGGGGAAGGAAAGATTCCCACATGCTCTGCTCAGATGTTAACAAAGAAAGCTGAGAAGTGTTTGCATAGACACTACATTACTTCGTGTCCAAATGCCTCGTAAAAATAATACCGGATGATCACAGAATGGCACACCAGGGAAAATAAATTCTTCAGCGGAATATTCCCTCTGGAAAAACACTGTGTAAAGTAATACACTAATGGCTTTCAATTTCGTGTTTTATATAGAGAGATATTAACGGCTCCCCAGGCGTCTCTTCATATTACAGTACAGTTACACGAGCCGTTTGGGGGAGGCCACGGAGCACCCCGGGCCCTGTCCATGCGGGATGGAGCAGAGCTCTCCCCTTGGGCAGGCAGCTCCAGCACTACAGGCACCAGGATCCTTTTGCCACTTTGCCATAGCAAGACTGATCCCACGGTTCTTCCAGGGTTTTTTTTCCTCCTTTTTCCTAGTCCTTTCTTCCCCTGTGCTTGCTCGTCTCACCACTGCTCTGGGAAGCCTGGATTCCTTCTCTCATAAAAAGAAAGGAGGCATCACAAGAAGTATCACTGTGGAGCGGTTAAAGCACAACCCTGTTGATCAAAACACTCATAACAAATGCCATAGAAAGTTGAGGATAAAAACAACTTGCATCAATTCCTTTCTGGGTGAATTCCAGGATTGTCTTGATTTATCTGGTGACTTCTCTCTCCACATGGCTCAGCCTGGAGCTCTTTGAGTCAGGAACTGTCTGGCCTGTGTAATGCCAGCTACGGCTGTGCTSTTGTAGCAAATCACAATGATCTGGGTTCTTTTCTAAGCTTTCCTAATATATCTCAAATGTGTATATATGTCATCTTCCCACCTCCCGAGGGATGCAAAACTAGTTTACGTGCTTTGTAGCCTGGATAGAGCCTATTGGAGTCTGGAGCAAACAGGGAAGAAGCCACGAGCACAGGGACATCGGGACTAGGAGCTGTTCCACCACGCACGAGTAGGAACCCTGCTGTTCGGGTGACAAGACGTGTCAAAATTCCTTTGGAAGCTTTGCAGTGTTTGTTTGAAAAGGCCAATAAGCAGACCATGATATCAGAGAATATCTTTTTTTGGCCTGTTACAGACACTATATTTCTTTTTTTATTAGCATTTATCAGTAATTCAATTTTGGATTCAATCTGCCCTCCCATTGTTACCTCTGCTTTTGTTTCTCTTTCTGTCCTGTCCATCTTCAGCAACCACTCCATCCACAGAGCCTTGATGGAAAGAGGCAGGCTCTCCAGACTGTGGACACCAGAATTATGCTCAGCATGGACTGTGCTCTTTAAAGAGGACACAGCCCCAGATCATCATGTATTAGGCTCACTGTGTTGCATTCAGCGAGGCTGCCTTTTATAAAGCGGCCGTCTCCTAATTTTCTTCTACAATTCTGTACAGGAATCATTTTTAATTTTGATTGCCGGGCAAGGACATCCTGCTTGCATGGGGTATCCCATTTGTGTAGAGCAAGAATGAATAGTTGTCCTTCAGCCTCTGAGTCTTCCTATTCTACCTTCTATCTATCTTCTACCTAATCTGTCTCTGGGAGGTAGAACCTACCTCCCACACAAGATTTTCATCAGCAACAAATGAGGGCAGCAAGCCTATGTGTGTGTGTGTACATGCAGATATGTATATGTTGTGTATTGTACTTGTATGTTATGTTAGAAACCTGCTCCCGAAAGAGCTGCAGTTCTTAGTGCTTGCCTTTACTCAGGATCCCTGTGAGCAGCTTCCAATATATCTCTCTTGGAAGTGYGGTAAGAATAAAGGATCCACACATCTGTTTCTTCAGGAACAATTTCTGTGCTTTAAATAGACACCATATCTTAATCCGTGTTAATCTTCAAACACAAAAAAAATCCTTTTTCATGTAAGAGATGATATTTCATTTTTTGTAATCACTCATTCCTTGGCTATATATATATATATATTTTAATACCAACTAGCTTAGCATCAGCACGTTAGCAAGTACCCAAGAATATTGCTATTTGCACTTGCTATACTTATACTGCTATAATTGATATTGCTCTACTGGCAAAAGCATAAAAGTTAAATCCTTTTGCCAGTATAATTGGCTCCACTGAGGGAAATTGGTTTAAGCTATACAAGCAAAACCTCCCCTTTAATGGTAACCACTGTGCTGCCACCAAGTAGGCTTATGCAGCTGCCTGTCAGGAAACCCTTTCATGTAGGGGCAAGGCTTTACACATCTGTGTCCCATCTCACTAAGGAACCAAGAGTGACTAATCCTGGTAAGGTATATAGCTGGGTTAGATGRTAACATTGGTTGCAGCTGAGGTGCAGGCTGCCTGCTGTGATGCCTGGCAGGTGCCTTTAGTGATCACTGGGCAAGTRGGTTTGGGAGGTAGGTTCAAGCCTCCTCAGGTTGTTTCATGTAGGTCAGCACCAAGGCACCTTCCAGCAGCAGTGTTGGTATGAGCCATGTGTCCAGGGACCTTGTGCCTTCCAGGGCTGCTGGACATGGGGCAGGAGATGGGTCTGGGAGCTGGTTTTGACTCATGTTCCTATTCTTTGGTGCCAGGTCGCTGTGCCCGCTGTGGGGAGAATGTGGTTGGGGAAGGTACGGGCTGTACGGCGATGGACCAGGTCTTCCACGTGGAGTGCTTCACCTGCATGATATGCAACAACAAGCTGAGGGGACAGCCTTTCTATGCGGTGGAGAAGAAGGCCTACTGCGAGTCCTGCTATATCGTGAGTACCCGTGCTCGTTTGCACCTTGATTTCAAATGTGTGCAGCTTGGAAATGCTGACTGCCTTCACTGCCATGCAGGCACCTCGTGGGTGCAACCACAGCAGGACTAGAGGCACCAGGTTTCCTCAGTTTGCAGGAGCGTTTGTGTCTTCTAACCTTCCTAGTCTGGCTTCATTTTGGGTATCCTACTGAACCCTGAAATACAGTGGTGAGGGGGGAGTGCCCTTTAGCGTTAATTTCAGCTCTGCAAGAAGCAGAATCTGCAAGAATTTTAAGAGGTAGATGGGTTTTGTTTGTATGTTTTTTTTCCCCTCAGGAGCTTTCTATCCTGAGAAACCCAATGCAGAAATCCTTACAGGAGTTACTTGCTAAAATCAATGAAATCAGGTGCAAAGCAGTGTTCAAACTTGTAAAACTTAAACTTTTTGCGATGCTTCACAATATTAATGGATGTCCTTTCCCTGAGCTAAGGGCCTGTGGGTTGCATATCTTTTGAAGCTTACCTTATACTAAAATTTCAGTTTATGCCTCTAACAAGCTCCTAAACAGACAATTAACAGCCTCTCTGAGGATCTGCACCTTTTAAGAGGCTCCCATAAGAGCMAGCTAGAACCAGCTGCACAGCTGCAAATTAAAGAAGCATCACGTGCTGTGCCTGAGGCCTTACCTTGCTGTGACCTTAGTATACAGTATATTGGGATAATCCCTATAATTTAAAATAAGAAAAGCAGCAGAACTTTCTCAAGGTATCGGTAGGTTTTTCAATAAACCTTAAATTCAGAATTCTTTTCATAAACATTAGTTTTCCATGCACATTGTTAAAACAGGCTTATTTTAAAACAAAGTTTTTAATAATTTTACTGACCTTAGTATTCAAGTTATTCTCAATAAATTTCACATTTTCTTGCAAAGATATGGGCAGGCTTAAGTAACACCAGTATGCTGCATAGTTTATTTTTGTTTCTGTAGGTTTTGATGGGATAGAAGGGGCAAGTATCTGAGATCCTTCCAGAACAATATCTGCACTTCTAAAAGAAATTGATTCTTTTTTTTTTTTGACATTTTTGGCRTTTCTAGTAATAATACAAACAATACTCTGCATTTCTAAAAATGCCACCAATATCCTATTATTCCTTCCACTTCTGCAGACCCTTTGCAGTGGGTTTATTGCTGAAATACTAACTAAAATAAGGAAGGATTTTCTTATTTACAGTGGCAGAGATAGATGGGCCTTGTTAATTGGCCATTAAAACCTAAATGATTTTTTGATGGAATATGTACTTTTTAAACCRTTTTCATTTTTATTGTTTGCATTAAAGTGATTGCACCATAAAAAATTTAAGGTTAACTTCMTGGCAAGTTTGGTGACCCTATGCAAAGCACTGCGAATTTTTAGGAAGGTGCACTGGTAATACAGATGGAGCCACTTGATGTAACTGGAATTAAACATCTCATCGACTTTATCTGCTTGTAGATTGATACCTCCCCTGTCCCTTTTCTTTTCTTTCTCTTAAATCAAGTTCATATTGTTCACCACTCATCTGCTTTAGTTTGGGAAAACATCTGCATTAGCCACTGTAGTGACGGTTGAAGATTATTTAATCCCATTACTTATACACTTCATTAGCCTGAGTGAATTGTTGGCAAGGGTTCAGTAAACTTCCTACACTGAGAGATAAAAGGATAAAAAAAGGAAAAGGAGAAGGATTCTGTTCTTCATTTTCTTTCAAATTTATCTTCTATCTGTTTAAGGGATAAAGGCACGATAATTGCTTGGTTGCATCTGTGACTGTACGGTCTGTGGTACAGCTTTCCTGCTCTGAGTACGGAGGCAAATGTTTAATAGCTTCCTTTTATATAACCAGAAGGGGCCTTAAAATGTTTATCCATGCAGTCCACAAAAACCTGGTTATGGACTTAACCCAAAACACTTCKGCATCCATCTGCTGCGGCACATGCAGGGGAGAAGGAGGGTGACGGTGGCGGATGTTACGTGTGTGGAGCTGGACAGCTGGCTCCGTGAGCGAGAAACTGCAGGCTCCTAAAGCAACCTAAAGCAGCAGTAAAAGGTAAAATTAAACTTAAAATCTCAAACCTGGAGGAAACAAATACAGGAGCCTGAGGTGGGCCACCTTTCAGAAAGGGCAGGAGGGTGCTGTGCCCAAGCCGGGTGCAGCAGCGGTACCCAGGCACCTAGGATAATTCTGGGGTTAGGCACAGAGGAACTCGTGTCTTGGGGTGTTTGTCTCAGTGATTCTCGGTGAGATGAGGTCTGCCCTGGTCACGTTTGGATGATAAGTACTGTGAGGATCTTGGGCTCCAGTCTTGCCTTTAAACCGCTRGAGCACAGTTGTTACCCACTGTTATTACAGTAGTACAGAGAAGACCACCTATAGCATTTACATGGTATTTTTTTAACCAATACCCTTGTGTGACTCTTGGCTATATGTTCATAAAAAGTATGTGCAAAAACAATTAGAATTGGCTAATCTCAGTTTATTATGTGGCTGCTCTTTAGTTGTGGTGGAGGGAAGCTGTAATTAAGATTACTGCCAAGAGCTGTATTTAATTAGTATTTAGCCAGTAGTGAGCCTAAACAGCCTGAAGAAGATTTTTTTTTTTATTTTTTTT